TTAACGTTCTCTCTAATTTGATACATACCTACCTTGTTATTTCATTGATATGACTGTTTTTATTTTTGTAGAGGTGAGCCATGGCTGAACAGAGTTCTGCCCGACCCCAAAGGAAGATGTCCACCTCCGGGGAGAGTGTGTATAAGGTACTAGGCCTTGAGAAAGGAGCTTCAGCTGAGGAAATTAAGAAGGCATACAGGTGAGCTGTCTGAATGTGTGGTAATCCGAATTATTTACCTTTTTACTACCAAGTCTCTTCTGTCTTGTTTTGAACGATTAGATTCTGCCAAATAACACTGTTTATGCTGAGTATTTCCTCAGAATTCATCTGGAATCAGTTTTTTTTGTTTTTATTGTCTGCCACATTTAAGTACATTTCTTTCTGTTTTTGCTGTTATTTTTTAATAAAAGGATCTTTAAAAAAAAAAAGGAATATATTTATCCCTTTGTGGAGTGATTTAGTCACTTTATCCATAATGTATAGAACTTAACAGAATAGAATCGACTTGAATCTGTTGTTGTACCTCAGTGGAGTAATTCAGGTGTATCAAAGTAAAAGCCAAATGAAAGTAGATTCATACAAGGTAATGTTAAAAAAATTTAATAAACATTAAGATTTTTTTGTAATGGCATAAAGAGGCATTATCTTTAAAATAAATGTATTTTAGAAATACATTCCTTACAGGATACATGACTTTTTAAAAGCCCAGACATTCCAGCACATAAATATTCTGACTTCAATAGTTTTTTTTTTATTTGTATTTTAAACTGCAAAAAGATTTTTTTTTTTATAAATGGTGTCTTTTTCAGGAGTTTAAAATGTATTCAGGATGTGAGGATCAAATAAAAGCACCGTGGGGAGTTTTCATTAGAGTCGGTTCTCTTTCCTTTCAGGAAACTTGCACTGAAGTACCATCCGGACAAGAACCCAGACAACCCAGATGCAGCGGAGAAGTTTAAGGAGATTAACAACGCCAACTCTATTTTAAACGACGAGAACAAAAGGAGGATTTACGACGAGTATGGCTCCATGGGCCTTTACGTATCCGAACAGTTCGGAGAGGAAAGCGTCAAATACTACTTCCTCATGTCCAAGTGGTGGTTTAAGGTTAGTAATGCTGGGAGCCTTTTTTGCTGACATAAAATGTAAAGTTACAATCCTACAGAGCTATTTATTATTGACTTTGTTTGGTTTAGTTATATGTCAATAACTATTTATATAGTTACAGGATTTATTATATCCATATTTTTTAGTTATAAGAAGGCAAATGAAATGAGTCTAGAATGGCAGCTCTAGCAGCTGGAACTATTAGTTTTAACTCTGCATGCTTCATTACCTACAACTTCAGATTCTGTGTAAGAAAAGCCTAACGCTGATCTCTGTTTGATCCTTATGATGCAGTCTTAGACAGTTGTCTTCCTGCCAATATTAATGATTAAAGCTGACATATATCACCAGCCTCTGTGCATTCTAATACCATGTAATGTAAATCTGTTTTTTTCTGTTAATCCCTGCAGAGTCTGGTGCTGTGCTGCACACTTTTTACCTGTTGCTGCTGCTGCTGCTGTTGCTGTTTCTGCTGCGGGAAGTGCAAGCCCCCCGACGATGATGAAAACTACCAATATGTTGATCCGGAAGACCTGGAGGCCCAAATCAGAGCGGATCAGGACGGAGGTAGGTGCTCTGTGCTTTAGTTCTGGGTCTGATTTTGTTTGTTTGATACTGTATAGATTATAAAGGAAAGAATACAAATTGGATGAATGCAGATGCATTGATGAGTACAGGAAAGTATCATCATTACGATTTATTTCCAAAGATAACCTGAGTGTTTCGTTAACAACATTTAAAGCTTCATTTTAGTAATAAAGATGATGCAAAATACACAAAACTGTTGATTAAATTTAAATCTGGTTGCAGTAGAAATGAAATATTTCTTGTATTAATGGATTCTTCTTCCACATTAAACAAAATGCAATTAATAAACAGTTAATATTTTTAGAGACCTATTAGGACAACTGCTTTTAACATCATCGTTATATTTGAAAATTGTAGGGGGATTTTCAAAACTTTATAAACATATGATATAAAATTGGAGGTAAAGCAGGTTTGCTCCAACAGGGAGTAGTGTGAAGCTGCACAGCGAGAACAACGCAAAGATTTTATTCAGGAAAATTCACACGTCAGACGGGAAATCTCACAAAACCTCAAAATCAGATGAGGTCAGATGAGAAGCTCTGTGGACTAATTTTGACAGAGAAAAAAACATTACTATAAGAAAAGAAAACATTACTCGCTACACTGGTGAGTTATGTTATCTTCCTTGGGAAGCGCTTTCTGATTGGCTACTCATCACATTCAACAGGTGGCATTATGGTCTGATCTTGCAGGGTTCCCGCGGGTCCTTAAAAAGTCTTAAAAGGCATTGAATTCTTCAAAATAAAACTAAGGCCTTAATTGGTATTAAAATGTCTTAAATCAGTCTTTCGTAGGTCTTAATTTTTAAAACATCATAAATAGGATAATTTTTATTATGATTTATTTTTGTAATCTAAATAAAACATTAAAATTGACCCTTTTTTTAATAAAAAAATAAAATAATGGCTCGCCATTATTGGTTCCGTCCCGATAGCGGAACCTATAAAAGCGTTGTTGCGGCCGGGACATTTGGGAGATGCACCATTTACTTTTTGTCTGGAAAATATGAGCAAGTGTAAATGTAACCAAAATTGTCTCCAGCCAAGAGTTTTCTCCATGGCTAAAACCAGGGAACATACATGAGGCTCAGTGGATTTAGTGCAAGAAGCGATTCAAGCTCAGAACGATGGGAATTAAGGCAGTGGAGTCGCACATGCGAAGCGCGAAACACAAAGCGTCAAAATGGAGTTACCGAGAAACAGCCGGTATTTCTCAGTTTAGTTCCACCCTTGTCTCTGCAACGCCTCCACTTATCACCAAATCAAACATACTAAGAAAACGATACAAAGAAAAATAGCTGCAAAAAAGACTTAGCACTGGTTATGTTGTGGCTTTAAAACTGATTTGTTTTGTTCCCTGCTAAAATAAAGTTTGTGAATTTAGTTAAATAGTCATTCAAATATATCTGCCATTTGTGTTTTTTTAGCTTTCTTCCTGTATGGGAAGCTTTTTAAAATTTTAAACATTAGTGCAGTGGTTTATGTTATAATAAACCTTTGGGTTAAGTTGTCGCAAGCAGGTTTTTCTTGTGTTTCTTGTGAATTTGATCTTAAATTTTTATTCCAAGTGGCATTAAAAAGTCTTGAATTTAACTTGCCTTATGCTGTAGGAACCCTGTCTTGGGGAACACCATTCAAGCTAAGATATCGGGCCAAGCCAATCCAAGATTTAGATTTATGAACAGAGGCATCCTAACATTTCTCCGAGCAGACCTGATCCGTTTTTAACTACACAGAACAGGATTGGCTCATAGGATTAAGAGAAAGATTGGGGGGAAATCGCCACCATTATATCGCCATGTGAACCAGGCGTTGTAGCTCGTTCACCGTGCCCTCAAATAAAAACTTCTTCTTTTATTTTCACTGCTTCAACAAGTCCCCATTTAGGCCAGAGTATACTGGAGTAAATTTCTGCATACTCTAGCTTTACCATTTCAAAAAGCTAGGTAGCCATTACTGTGAGTTAAATTGTCACAGCAACCGTGCTCAGTAGCAGGTTTGTTTGGAGTAACTCTGGCTGTGTCTGAAGGCCCGAACCCCTATAAAGAGAAATATATAAGGGTTACGCCATTTTATATGACTGTCTGAATGTCTAGTGGATGGAAAAGAAGTGGACTCAAAGTAAGTCGATGTTTTTATCTGTATGAAACAAATGAAGACGCAACATAGCCGTAATTTCAGAGTGGCTCTAGTTGTATTTGAACAATAGAGAGCATCGTCTAGCATTAATATAAAACTACATTAAGCTGCTTCATCTGCAGAGGATTTGAAATGAACACAGCCTTCAGGATTTCCCTCTTCCAATCCAACAGGTACCACTGTAATCATAATCCAGCCCGCCTCCGATCTGGGTCCTGAAACCCCAGAGGAACAGAGTAAGCCAATCCCCCTGCCTATGCCCATGCCTCCACCTGAGCCCCAGTCGCCTTCATCAACCAACACACCGGGGAAAGAAAACCCCAGAGAAAGCTTACAAGAGTCTGAATGACTCGTAAGAGCCGCCTCGTCTGATCTTTGTGTCCCTTTGTCTCCCGTTTGTTTAATTTTTTTGCACAATAAATCCTCCTCATCCTCATGGTTGTACGTCAGTTTCTTGACTCGCCCGTTTGTGTGGCTATTGCTGCTTGGCTGGTCCGTAACAAACTCCTCCAGCTTTGTCATTTAACCGCCGTCTAATACTAACCCAAGCGGACATCATGTTCACGTTGATTTGCACATGCATGTCTCCTCATGCTGTCCACATGAACACATTACCCCATTACCTGTGTGTGTCTGTGTTACATGCTCAATGCATGAGACCGTTCCAGCCTGCTGCCTGTGCAGAGAGAGATCCAGATGTTGTCCACTGATCCGAACCAAATATTCACTGAAATGAAAGCTTGCATTGCTCTGCACGTTGTAACACATTTATCCTTTTGTCTGCTTTATAAATAAAATCTGAGCTGCTTATTCTTTATGCCTCTTCTTGACCTATTTTATCGGTGCTTATGTGAGTAAACTATTCCCTGATTGTGTTGTTGATTCCTTTTTTTTATAGGAAAATGATCATGTGATTCAGTGTCAACTAGCTTCTGCAGGAAGGTAAGATCCTGTTTGTTTTCTTGATTAAAGGTTAGAATCAGAAATCAGTCAACCTTAGCACTTTGAATCAACCGACTATGATCTTAAAATCAGCAAAACAAGTATATTTTTAATGCACAATTGAATACAAAGACAGTTCAAAGTGCTTACATGAATTAAACAATAAAATAGAAGAAAAATAAAAGCAAGTAAAGATAAAAACATAAGAGCTGGTGTCTGAACTTCCCCGTTGCGTTAGAACCATAAACTTGAATGTACTTTACTAATATTGCATGAAAAAAAGGTAAATGGACTGATCAGAAAGAAAGTATGAATGAGAGTATGGCTAATATTTGTATACAGATGTTCTAGCACTGCAGAAACAGCTTTACAGTAAAGACTGTAGGTTTTAATTCTTATTTAGCTGATCACATTTTTGACCATTTTTCTTCATAAAGTAACTCAAAATCTGTGAGATTAGATGGTAAGCATCTGTGGATGTCAGTTTAAGAGTATTTTCATAAATTCTTAGTTTCGATTTAGGCCTGTTCTTTGGTTAGCCCATTCTAATGAGGTCATAATTTCATCCTAATCCTTCCTCTGAAGGTCTGGCTGTAAATTTAGGAGTTTCTGTTCTGCTCCCATGTTATGCAGCCTCTAGCAGGTTTTCTTCTCTGCTTCTATGTCACTGATGGAGGAGGGCATCCCTCATAGGATGCTGCTGGCAGCATTAGGGTGTTCAGGCTTCTCTTTAGTATCCTCACTGACCTGTTTGCCTTGATTTTGATCGTCATGAGGATGTTTGATCAAGGATTTTCTCCAACTAACCTCTGAGGCCTTCACAGAGGAGCTGGATTTATACTGAGGTTAGATCATAATCAGGTAGACTCTACTTACTCAAATACCGTAATTTTCGGACTATAAGCAGCGACTTTCCCCCCATTTTTCGACCTTGCGTCTTCTCTATGGACCTTTCCAGCTAACGGCCACTAGGGTAATACCTTAATCTATGGATTTTACCATCCACCATGTTGACGTCACATTTGCTTCAACACACCAAGTACTGTAGCCGCGCGCGCGGGAATGCGGAGGTCCTCCGGAAGCAGACTTCTACCGCGAGTGGTTCGAGACAGAACGACAGCGAGAAAGACGGACATTGCGAGCGCAAAACAGTTTGTGTGTAAACATAAAAAACCTGCCGCTTATAGTCCGGTGCGGCTTGTATTATGTACAAATCATGAAATTTAACTTCTGCGGCTTATATTCAGGTGCGGCTTATAGTCCGAAAATTACGGTAGATGCTTTCTAAAGAAAATAATTGCAACAATTTCCTTTTAGGATTTCAGACAAATGGGGAAAAAAATATATTTATCTTAATGTGCAATATTTCACATTTTTGTGCACTGAAAACAATTTACACTGGAAAAAACTGAAATCTAGATGAGTCATTTTTTCTTAAAATAAGCGCTTTTGTTCTTGGATTAAGGAGGTAAAACATACATTTTGCCAATGGAACGAGACAATTTACACTTAAAATAAGAAAACACAATTGAATTGTCTTATTTCAAGTGCATTTTATCCAATTATCTTATTTTAAGAGTAAAAATACTAATTCCATTGGCAAACTATCTCATTTACCGACTCAAATGAAGGGTAAATGCACTTAATTTTAGACATTTTTACTGATTTCTTGATAGTTTTTCCAGTGTAGAAATGAGTAAAAAAATATCTTAAATTAAGAGTAATTTTAGTAAATGAGATGGTTTGCCAATAGAATAAGTATTTTTACTCTTAAAATAAGATAATTGGATCATTATTAATTGAAATAAGACAAGGCACTTGTGTTTTCTTATTATAAGTGTGAATTGTCTTGTTCCGTTGGCAAAATGTTTCTTTTACCGCCTTCATCCAAGAAGAAATGCACATATTTTAAGAAAAAATTACTTATCTAGATTGCGATTTTTTTTTTTTTTTCGGTGTCGATCTTTTAAATAAATCTCAATATGTATTAAAGTTTATGGTTCTAACACAACAATGTTTTGTAAGGCTTTGTAAAATATTTGTTGAGGAACACAAACAATAATCTGAGCATTTTCTCACTTACTCTTTTAAATGTTTCCTCTTTGTTTAGCCTCTCGAGGCCCTACTATGATCCAGCTACATCTGACCGCTGTGAAGAACCCAGAGAAAAGCCAGCCCAAAGTTATCAGCCATCCCAGATCTCCTCCCCTCTCCTGCCTCACCTCCAGCCCCCCGATGCTCCAAAGCTAACCTGCGAGGCGGCCGCATCTGCCTGCCCCCAGCTGTGGAACCATCTGGAGATCAGCCAAGCCGACGGCCATGCTCCTAAATTTGGGAGCTCTTTCCAACCAGCTCTTGAACGTTCCCCTGTCTTCTAGTTACTGAATTGTCTGTGCGATGCTGGTTGTGACTGCATCAGTGTGTTACGCCAAAACCACCCCAGTCTCCTCTGGTCATCACCTTTCTAACCGCTAAGGATGGCATATGAAGGAGAAGTGGAGGGATTATTTATTGCTTTTCTTTTCCTCTTATTGTAGATAATCCATTGGTCATCAGCCAGATGACTTTATTTTTATTTTTTTAACATATCTCCCACAGTAACTTGCTTTATTATTTTTGGAATAGAACATTGACGGTAAATTCGATGCCAAACTTAGAAATCCAGCTGCTCAGCGGAAACATTGACTTAACTTAAGGAGGACGGTTTGAACTGCATCATCTTCCACTATCACCCACTAAAACTCTTACTTTGAATGAAGAGTCTTTGCCTCCTTTAAAAACTGATCTCATCAGGATCTACTTTATTTCATGGTTTGATGTTAAACGTCTGAGCCAAGCTAAAGAGCTGTTATTAGGAGATGGAAGACCTCTGCCATCAGCATGCAGTCATTGTTTTGTTTCCCAGCTGCACGTCCTCCCGTCTGTACTGCATGGAAACCCAAACCACACCAAAAAACCCTGCTTTTCCCTGCATACTCTGGTGAAACGACACAAACACACTCATACCAGCCCTGATGTCAGCGTTAGAGGAAACGGACAGTCCCCCACCAGCCCTCTGTAACATGAGTGACTGATGCCAAACCATGGAGCTCTGATGGACGTCAACGATCTGTGCTTTTAAGTTGCTCTCATGCTCATTTACATCATGTGGTTGATTAAAACAAACATTTTTATTTTGCTATTAGTCTGCCAGGCGGATCTATGCGCCTCTTCTGATCCGTTACCATTTTTATATTTCCCTGAGACGATCAGTGGCATCATGTTCAGATTCACCAGGTTTCATTTTTGAGCCATCAACCAGGGATTGGGGAAATTAGACATTTTTACTCTAAATTTTCAGACCTTTCATCTAATTTTTCCGTTATTTTATCAATTCTCTAAACCTTTACCTGCTGACTTGACACTGACAGTGGTGTGCCTTGAAGAATAATTGTAGCAGTGATTAAGCAGGTTAATAGTTGAGGGTTTGCCATACGCTTCTTGGATGCTGTGCAGAAAATAATCCAGTTTGGGGATCTACTAATAAAGGGGGAAAGGCTTTTTTTTTTTTTCTTTTGTGGTAACTTACTGGGCCTGATCTCCTCCTGTCTGCAAACCTCTAGGAAAGTTTCTTTAGTTTTGGATTCAAATAAGTAGCATAAGATAAATTCAGCCCCCATATATGTTTTTACAAATCCTACATAATCAGGCACAGCTTATTTTAGATCTTTTCTGATTATCATCTAATGGGACATTTTTGGATGCTTTTATATCATGGAAAGGAGCTATTAACTGACCTAAATTTTTTTAATCAAGTTTTCATTAAAAAAACAGTAAAATTCGCTTATTTAACTGGTGTTTTCTAATTATACAGACGGAGTAAAACTTTTAGTTTATTTTTAATTTGGGATGGTCTGTTTGCTCTATTTTTTTGCTCATATTAGTTTACCGTCTGTTTTTGGAAAGAACCCAAATGAAACCTTTTACTATTTTATTTTTAATTAATCTGGAAGCAATCATCTCTCAGTATTTAATGATGTTAAAAGTCAGCTTCATTTAAAAAAAATTACTTATTTTTATCAAGCTATTCTTAAAATCCATCTCTAAAGACTGTTTACAGAATGTATATTCAAAAACATTTTTTTTATATTTCATGTAATATCTTCTCATTTCGTTCAGCATGTTTCACCCCAACTACACTTTTTTTTTTTTTACTGTTACCTCAGTTTGTGATCATTTTCAATGCTAAGCTTCTTTGACATTTATGGAGTAAACATAAAAATGTTTTGAAATTAATTCTGACAGAATATTGAGCAAAGTTTGAATCTTTAGTTTTAGAAGGAGCGGTTAGAGATAGAAATATCTTGCTGCCGGTTTTTTTTAAAGATTCCCAACTTTTTGTTTGAGCTGCAGAAACACAAATTCTGCAATAAACAAAGTAAGTTCCTCTGGATAAAATCACATTTTTTGTTTAAAACATTGACTCTGAATTTTGATTTTCATGTTAAGCAAATTTAGACAGTTTGCAGTTTTGTTTGTGTGTTTTACAACTAAAAGAAACAAGTTTTTTTTTTTTTTCTTAAACTAAATTTTACTCCAATTTTAGTGGAATTCTGTGTATTATTTTATGGGGGGTAAAAAAAACCATTGCTTAGTTCTAACGTAGTCTTGGGCTCATATTTTTCACAAAAAGTGTTAATAAAAAACACAGTTTCTTGCTGTATAAGTTTTTTTTCTCACATTATCCATTTCAAATATCCAAACCTTCCCAGTCGACGCATCCATGGATGGATTCCGCTTTATTTTGCTCATCCTTACCTGAAAAGTGCTCAAATAGAAATGTCCATCCTTTTCCCGTATTTATAGTCTATAGTTTTTTATGCACAGAAGAAGTGAAAGTTGTAAATCATTGGCTTGAATCTGGCAGAAGCTAATTTTAAGAAGTTTAGTTGTTAATAAACTGTCTTGCTCCAAAGTAGAGGCCAGTCTGCCTGGAAGTTGCAGATCCTGCAAACCCATTTTCTCCAATCAGCCCAGATGACATATTTCCGCGTCAAATGGATTAAACAAATGCAGATCTGCATGTTGGAGCAATTTAGGAGTTGGAAAACAGCACGAAAAGCAGGTCAGATAAAAATATCTGCATCATGTGTCTCAGTCTGCAGACATGAACTGGTTTTTATTTGTTTTCTTTACCCATAATTAATTAACAGATCACCTTTGACCCACTAACTCTAAACACTTCATGCAAAAAGGCCATGAAAACATTTTTTTAACCAAAGTAATCTACACCTAAAACCTAAAAGAATGACCAAAATAATATATCAGTACTGAAGAAGGTGTATAAAGTGATTTAAATATTAATGGACTTCTGGTTTTTATTTATGCTACAGAAAAATGAGTGTGACAGATTGTAGTGACATTGGGCTGAAGTCAGCTTGTTTACTCTGAGTCACAGAATCGGAGATCAGTGATTCAAACTCCACCGCTAAAAAAAAAAAAAAAAATGTATGTGGAGCTAATGTGCTTCCAGGAAGATTATTATGTTTTTGTTTTTTTTAAGTTGGCTGGTTAAAAAAAATCTAGATGTAAAGAGAAAAAAGACGTTCTTGACCTGAACATGAGACATTTCTTCCTTGTACATAATGACTGTGATGAAATTCAACTAAATAAAAAAAAAGGGGGATTTTCTAATTTTCTGTGGTACTTTGTCCATTATTAAATCATGTCTTTATGAGTCTGCTGACCAAAAATGTTTGAATATTTGAACATGGCGCTCCAACATCCGGGAAAATACTCTGCACTGCAAAAAATGGAAATCTAAATAAGTCATTTTTTTCTTAAAACCTGCGTGTGTTTTTTGATTAAGGAGGTAAGTGAGACACTTTGCCAGTGGAACAAGACATTTTACATTTGAAATAAGAAAAAACAACTGCATTGCCTTATTTCAAGTACATATTATCTAAATATCTTATTTTAAGGGTAAAAATACTCATTCCATTGTCAAATCATATTATTTATCTACTCAAATTAAGCGTAAATAATCTTAATTTTATACATTTTTTCAGTTATTTCTAGATCGTTTTTGCAGTGTGATCATCACCAAATGAATCACAGACTTTTTGCTCTCACCCTTTGCTCCAGTCCTCTACCTTCTGTCTCTATGCCTCCTGCAGATGTTCAATCTTAGATTGGAGGGGCTTTATCTCACTGAACATGCAGGTAAACTTAAAACCAGCTGATTGAGCTCATCTCTAGTGGAAGAAAGGCTGTATCACCATCAGAAGGAGAGCTCACTAGCTCTACAGTAGCTGAACATCTCAACCTAATGTTCTCCGTTATGTTGGAATGTTTTTATTTGGCATTAATAAATGGTCAAATAAACCAATTATAGTCAAATTTATAGTTACTTCTTCAACAACTGATTCATTTAGGTGAAAAGGGTTTGAAAATGGTCAACTTTGCTATAAAAGGTAATACCGCACTGCAAAAAACATCTAGAAATAAGTAAAAAAAATGTCTTAAATTAAGTGTATTTACCCTTAATTTGAGCAGGTAAATAAGATGATCTGCCAATGGAATGAGTATTTTCACTATTAAAATAAGATAATTAGATAATATACACTTGAAATAAGACAAAGCAATTGTTTTTTTCTTATTTTAAATGTAAATTGTCTTGTTCCATTGGGTAAGTGTCTCACTTACCTCCTCAATTCAAGAAAAAATGCACTTAATTTGAGCAAAAATTACTTCAATTATTTGCAGTGCGTTTTAATCATTAAGCACTTTGCAATAACCGTAATAAAATTAATTATCAAACATAACAGAAAAAGTTCCTCTTTCACAAAATATTGGGGCAGAAATGATCAAGAATTGTGGTGCAGTTCGTATTTTAAAAACCTTGAGGTTCATCTGTATGTAGTTTGCATGTTCTCCTGTTCTACTTCCACCCACAGTCCAGACTCATGAGTCCTGTGTTAGAAAGTTACTCTGAATTAGTGGTGGAGTCTGTTTGTCCTGCTATTCTTACCAATGACCGCAACAGGGTTCCCTCAGCCTCTCACCCAGTGACCCCTTGGGTGGACATCAGCAATCCCCTATGGATTGATGATCAATCAGTGGATAATCTAACATTCTGCATTACAATAAAATAACTTTATTGGGGTTATTTTAAGAAAATTACACTTAAAATATTAGACCTAGTCTTTTGGGCATACCTCATCATGACCTTTATCAATTATTAAGTTTCCTTTCACTTATGGAATAATAGGCTAAACTAAACTCCTGTTTTTACTTCTCAATATTTGACATAATTCTGGGAACAAAACAAAATATTACAGATATAAATTTAAAAGTTGTGGATATCTGCAGAAATTAAACCGTTTCGCACGATGTTAAAATGTGAACAAAAGCTTTTATTACATTGTTAAAAACAGCAGGGTTCTGTCTAAACATATTGTGGTGCTGATAGATTTCTCCCATTGTTCCCACTTTTCCCAGTTTGAGGAGTACAGGGGTGCGTTGTTTGGAGTAGCGCTGAAATCCAAGTCATGAATGAGACTGTGTTGAGCTTATTCTGCAGCCTAGAAATAGTCCTGTAATCCAATTAGCAGATTGCTCTACTTACCAGGCAGCGTTCTGTTGATTGGCTCCTACTTTGTGTGTTTTTGGTTGAGTGGAGGGATGAAATTAGTGTTACTATAAAGGAGATTATTTAAACTGAATGGCGGATTGCTGAACCTGCTTTCTATTCGTTCCTGGTCCAAGACATTTTATCAT